CCAAGCCTGGGCCGTGGGGCAGGGAGCTGAGCGCTGCATGTGCTGAGCACGTGTTATCTTGCAGGATGTGTGAGGGGGAAAAGAGGAAGCTGGTGATCCCATCAGAGCTGGGTAAGAGGCCCTTCCTGATGGGGCAGGGCAGGCTCGGGGTGTGTGTGGGGAAGGTAAAGGCCGCTTCAGCTTCTGATTGATCTCCACCCTATCCATTCATCATAAAGATTGGCTTGTGGCATCAAGGACAGGGCAAGGCTCTTGGGACTGTAATGCCCACCCTCTGCCCGTCCTCTACCAGGTCTTTGGCATACCCTCCCATATCCATTCCATCTTCTCCATTTCTAGCCTTCTTGCTGAGAGGGGCAGAGTCCTGGCTGTCTGCAGACACCCAGCCTGTTTTCCTGAACTAGAAGGGGGCCTGGCCATAGCTCACTTTGTTTCTTTGTGCATCTTCAACAGGGTATGGAGAACGGGGAGCTCCCCCAAAGATTCCAGGTAATATACCTTCATAACCCCCAATTCCTACAGCCGTCCTATCTCCTCATGGCTTTAGTTTGTATCCTCACCCCACTTCTCCCCTACAGGTGGCGCAACCCTGGTGTTCGAGGTGGAGCTGCTTAAAATCGAGCGACGTTCAGAACTGTAGCCCGACTGGGGAGGCGTAGGGGGAGAGACCCCCATCAGGGACCAGACTGTTAAAAAACAAAAAAATCCTTAAAAGCTCAAGGAGTGAGCCTGTGTTTGTTTGTGGGCCCTGAGACTTAGAGACCACAGCTGCAACCTCCTCTCCTCCTCCATAGCCTCCTCACCCCTCACTCTCTCTCCCTGCTGCAAAGTCTTGGGGTCTACACTCCGAGACATGGTGGGCCTTGCACAGAAGGAAGAGGCATATTCATGCCTGCCAGTAGCAACCCCTTCCCCAGCTCCCTAGCTACTTCCAACTCCTGGTCTGGGAGCCAGCACTGGGCGATCGCCATGGCTACATGGCCCTCAGGAAGGCCCGCGGTCACCTGGGGAGAAGCTGAGCTGGCAGCAGTTATAAAGCAGTGTGTGCCCCTCAGAAGAGACCAGCCGAGTCTGTTAGCTGCACCAAAGGCATATCCTAACTTTATTAAAGGGCCCGCGCCGCAGTCAATATAAAAACACAAAAAGTCCCATCAGTTTAATAACAATAAAAAACCCCAAAAATGGAAAACTGAAGGGGCAGGGGAAGAAGCCCCTAGGCCAGGGGCAGAGGAGCCCTGCTCATGGCACCAGGCCTGGCCGCAGGGTCCCCTGGTATTGCTGTTGCTACGAGGTCTGGGGGCAGCGATTGTCCTGTGGGAGCCACCGATCACTTGAGTCAGGACCCTTACTTCTTCTGGGGTGTGCTCAGCTTCTGCATGCCCCGGATCTTGTCCAGCAGGCCAGAGATGAAGGCCTGAGCAGGAGAGTGGATATTAGGGGGATGAGACACCAAGATGGCAGGTGCCCGAGCTCCCCCCGATGCCACCCTCTGGGGAAACCACTTACCTCAGTGGGTTTGTAACAGTCAACCAGCAGCTCCTAGCAGGGGGTAGAGGGAGCAGGAATAAGTGCACAGTCCGGAATGGAGGCCTGGAGTTCGCCCACACCCACTTCTAAGGGACTGGGACCACCCCAAGGCCAGGAGAGGCTACAGTCCATCACAGCTACGCAAGTACCATTTGCCAGAAGCAGAAGCAGAGGGCCAAGGTCACAGAGCTGGCTGCTCCAAGGGGCAGTGCCTCCAGGCAGCTGTCCACCCATCTCCCTGGCCCTTCTCTCACCTTGACCCTGGCAGCCCGGGTATCATCACTCTCCATGTCTAGGAGCTCATCCACGTCGATCTCCAGCTCTGGGATCTCCTCTTCCTGGGGTGGGGTGGGGGAGGGGAGACACAAGGGCCTGAGTTGGGAGAGAAGGTGTGAGAGGAGCTCTTGGGTTGAGGGCCCTGCCTACCTTGGGACAAGCACAGCCCTCTTGCCCAGCAGACAGGCAGCTGCTCTGAGGAGGAAAACAGATCAGACCCGTGCCAAGGCAAACTGCCCAGTTTGGGGGGGAGCTTCCTGTCCTTGCCAGTGGGCACAGGGGTGCCAGACAGCCAGAGCTGGAGACCTTGCACTGGGAACCTAGCAGATGTGTCTCCCCGGCATCCGGGCCCCCCATGTCACTAGCGCACCAGTGGGGCCAGCTGTTCCAGCTCATCACAGCCCCCCTCCATTCCCCCAAACACCTGTCACAGCTTCCCAGGAGTAAGGAGGAAGTGAAGGGTGAGGGGTCAGTGGGAAGGACCCAAGCCTGATAAAGGGGAAACAAAGAGCCCATGCTTTGGAGAAGGCAGGGGGGTGCCCACCACCCCTCCCCCCCAGGAAGCAGCTATCCCGTTTGAAGCCAGCTGCATTCCAGGGCTGGGCTAGGGTAGGCAGCACTGGGCAAACCCACTCCTCCACCCTGCCCCCCGGGGCCTGAGTCACCATCTGAACAACCCGGGAGTCATGGGGTGGGGAACCAGAGCCCAGGAGCAGGCTAGTCTGTCCACATGCCAAGATGGAGCTCCAGGCTAGCCTATTTTAACAGCCCTGACCCTTTACAGCCTCCCATCAACCAGGCTAACGCCTTTTAACCGCGATCTAGCATAGCTGGCACTAGGCAGGTTAGACCTCTCACTGACGGCCCAGACTAGCTCCCTGTCTCCTGCCTAAGGCTTGGGCTATCCCCGGCAGTTTCTGGAGGACACCAAGTTGACCCGGGGAGTGACAGGAGGAAGGCAGGGTCTGAGGCGGCGGAGAAAATAGGAGTGACTTAGGTCAGACAAGAAAGCGCATACACGGGGTGGGGGGGCGGGAAGGGGAGAGAAGGGACGCACGGTGCAGGGGAGCGCCCATTGACTCTGGTGACAGACGGGCTCACGGTGGGGATTCCAGGTGGGCGACCTGGGACCGATTCGGGTGCTGGCCCGGGGTGGGGAACACACCTGGCAGTCGTACAGGCACGTAAGTTGCTCCAGGATCCACTCCTCCAGGTTCAGGCGCTTCCGCAGCTCCTTGCGGTCGTACTTGACGGTGACCTTCCCTTGGCGCCTCACTGGGCCGTCGTCGTCCGCGCCGCCTGGGCCCTCGCCTGCAGCCCCAGGGGGGCTCTGAAAGTTGATGCGGAGCCATGGGCCAGCACTGTCTGGCCCAGGCTGGGGTGCCAATGCCAGGTTCCCTGGGGTCCCT